TTTTCTTTTTTCTTTTCCTCTGCATCCGGTCTTGTAACGGTGGTTGCAAACTCACAACATTTTTTGCTATTTACAAGTATTAAAATGAAGTTCCTTCACGATAAACATTTGACTTAGGTTATTGGCTCAGGGTATTATATAATCTTAATTTGGCTAACGTTTCTAACTAGTTCTGGTTCCATGTTCCGCCTTATCCTTGAATGATGACCAGCTGTTTGTGACGGTATGTTGTTTTAAATCTGTAGGTTGGTTGAACATGAATGTTTGCTTAGGGCATTATGGTTTTGCACTAGGTGCTCCTCTCGTATCATTCTTTGTTCTTTGGATCATCGCGTTTGTACGTTGGCAAGTTAACAATTCAAATGATTGATGTCCTGTGATTGTTGATAACGATGATATCCATTTTCCCGACAAAAGTCATAAGGTAAAACAAGAGCATATAAAAAAAATCTATTGCACTTAATCGGAACGGAGCTTGTTTAAACGTTGACTCGCACTGTATATTTTTCTCTGAAGGTAAATGCGAAACTCTCCCTCACTAGTACGCTCGGTGTAAAGGCAGGCTATAGCCATCACAGATACGCATATTTTCTGGCCGCTACCCAACAGGTTATCATCATTTGTGTAAATAAGGCCATATTTTCCAGATGTGCTCTGTTGAACACGAGACTGTACCCATGCCAGTTCTGCAGTTTACAGTAGTTAACTATCAATCCGACTTACAGGGACTGGATTATTGCGTAATCCAACCCCTGCATGCTCATCAACAGCAGTACATCAGCCATTTGAACTGATGCTTCGCTGCCATACAACCATGAGGACCTATGAAATAAAGAATAAGAAGAGGGAGAGAAGGGGGACTTACCTGAAAACCTTAATGCCCTAAGCAAACATTCACAGTCAAAGGCGCCTACACCTTGTGTAGACAACATACCGTCACAAACAGCTGGCTATCGTGCAAAGATAATGCGGCATCGGCGAGACAGCTTCCTTGCGGCTTTCACTGCCACGCGTCATAATCAGCCATAACCCCGCAGATAACTCAGCACCAAACACACTTTAAACAGGCAATCCGATTAGGAGACGGCAACAGACGCGCCACTGATGTCGGTTGCGAGCCATGTCCTGTAAAGTCTCGAGCCAAGCACAAGATGAGTCACGTGGACTCCAACCCGGAAGGCGAGACGGACCAATGGCACCCAATTTGGTCGTCAGTGACTTCATTTCCCGCTGCCAAGTCAACTTCTGTCCACCTCGAGCCTTGCGCCATCCTACACCTGGTAGAGTGAACAAGGCCCTCCTAGGTAAGCGGTGACCAGGCATGCGTAGCACGTGCCCGAGCCAACGCAACTTATTCAGTGCTTTCTGTTGTTCTAGGGAGCTAGCATGATTATCACCACCTAGTACTCGCCTACGCACATCATCATTGCGGACACGCTGGTGTCATCCGACACCAGCAACGCTTCGCAAACAACGATGATCAAAGACTTGAAGGCGCCTCAGATCTTCAGACCGAAGTGGCCAAGTTTCACTACCATAGAGCAGAACGGCCCTCACGGTGGCCTTGTATACACGGCCTTTCAGACGGAGGGAAACTCCCTTCTGTCGCCAAAGATGACGCAGGTTCAAGAAGGTAGCTCTGGCTTTTGCAATGCGTGATCTCACGTCAGTTTCTATGCGCCCACCATTGTTGATGCAGCTGCCAAGATAAGTGAATTGATCAACCACCTCGAGTTCCTCGTTAGCAAACGTCAAGGGGTCATCAAGTGGCTGGTGGTCCTGCAGCAACACTTTGCACTTTGAAGGTGCGAAATGCATACCAAATAATGGGACCACTCTGGACAGGCTATTCAAGGTTGATTGTGCCGCTCCAACATTGTCGAAAAGCAAGACGATATCGTCTGCATAATCTAGATCAACTAACCTTTTACCAGGCAGCACTTCGACGCCTACAACGTGAGATTCCGCAAGGGAACACTCCATGATAGAATCCACGACGAAATTGAACAAAAATGGGGAAATCGGACAACCCTGTCGAACGCCACTTGTGGTCGGAAAGCTATCCGACAGGACACCGTAGACCCTGACGCGGCCTGTAGTGTTCGAGTATAGAGCACGAAGGCTGTTCACATATTTCGTGGGAACACCTTTCCGCGCAAGTATTTCGAACAGAATCGATCGGACTGAATCGAACGCACTCTTGAAATCGAGGAACACAGCTATTGTCGGTCTGCGGTATGCGTGGCGCTGCTCTAGCACCTGCCGCAAAGTGAATATATGGTCTATACAGCCACGTCCTTGGCGGAAACCGGCCTGCTCTTTCCTAATCCGAGATTCCCGTTCTGCAGTGAGGCGACGAACGAGAATCGAGGCCAGTACTTTTGTCACAACTGGCGTTAGGCTAATACCCCTGTGGTTCGCACAGTCTGTGCGACTGCCCTTCTTGTATATTGCCACTATAATCGATTCGTTCCAATTAGCCGGGACACTCTCTTCCTTCCAGATACATTCGAATAAGGTCAGTGCTTTGCAGAGGACCTCACCTCCATCCTTAAATAGTGCAGGTGGGAGGGAATCCGGGCCAGCGGCACGAAAACGATTAAGGGCTGTGATCGCGTTTCGGACCTCGGCTTCTGACGGAGGCTCTAAACTAACCGTCCATGGCTCGTCCTGCATCACCTGAGTAGGAAGAGGTCCGGGAGCAGGGGGCCAGCTGAACTGATGTTCAAAGTGCTCAGCCCAACGAGCCATACGGCGCTCCTTATTGTGTATCAGCGCACCCGCGCTCTCCCTGATTGTCTCACTGACGCCTGGTTTTCTCGGACCAGTGGTGCGTATTAGCTGGAAGAGCTTCCGGTAATTGCCTACTGCTCCTGCCTCCTCCATTTCTTGAGCCCTACTGGTCCACCAGGCTTCCTTGTCAGCACCTAGGCTCCGCTTTAGTTCACGCTTAATAGCCCGTCTGGTCACATTGTGTTCAGAGCCAGTCAGGAGGTTTATTCTGCATTCCAACAGGTTCACCGACCTCTCGGATATCCAGTGACTGGTGCGGTGACGATTGATGGTGCCATAAAAAGATGCTCCTGCGTCGAGCATGGCGGCCCAGATCCTATTCCACTGAAGCTGTGTCATTAGGACAAGACAGCGGAAGTTCGATACGCAGCGCCTCTTGATAGGCTTGCCTGACCGAGGACTGAGACAATTTCTCAGTTGCCAATCGTAGGGGACACCTGGTGCGCCTCCCGGTAAAGTTCATGGAGGAACGACAGCGTACCAAGGCATGATCAGAGTCGACACAGGTATTCCAGTATGAACGGCAATCCAGGATGGAACAACGCCATCTGTAACTTATGGCTAGGTGGTCAATTTGGGTCCATCGCTGGCCAGCTACAGGAGGACGCCAAGTGGCACTTCGGCGCCCATTGTGTCTAAAAGCAGTGCTACTAAGAAACAACTGGTGCTCCGCACACAGTTGTAGCAGACGCTCACCGTTGTCCGTCCGTTCGGAGTTAAGCCCATAATTACCACCCAGCTGAGCTTCTGAAGAGCTCAGACGCCCTACTTGTGCGTTCATATCCCCTGCAAGTACTATAATATCTGAACTAGTAGCACTGCGTAGTAGCGAGTTCAGTTCGACATAGTATGTCCATGACAGCATTAGAACTGCAGTCGGTGGGAGCACAAACAGTGTTTTGTACTACTTCGTGAATCAACCTTAGCTGATGTTGTCAAACGGGCTGCACATAAACGGCTGTTCACCGGAATCCAATCAACCAACGATGGTTCAGCCTTGGAGCTTAGAATGATACCTACACCAGCTTGACCCGTGAGTGCTACATCGGCGTCTCCGGATGCGTACAACCAATAACGAGAGGAAAAGCCGGGTGCAGTTAATATAACAACTCCATTAGGTTCATTGATCCTAGTTTCGGACAAGTATCACACATCAATACCCAGTGTGTCTAAGGTGCGTGCGAGTGCAACCTGTTGACCTGTTTGTCTTAGAGTGCGAACGTTGAACGTCGCCATGGAAACGGGATAGCGTGGCCTTATAAAGGACTTTTGCTGATAGGCGTCCGATAAGCGCGGTGGGATGATGGCTGCAGATGGTTCTACTCCAGTGGCACTTCGGCTGCTGTCAATTAAGCTGGGAATTATAGAAGGAAGGTTAGCAACGGGGGTCGGGATGGAAGTAAGAGAAACAGGTGGAAAAGAAAAAAGGGAGGCGCCAGCAGTAGCGTGTTTTCGCTTATCCGCCCTGCTGTATGCAGCAGATAAGGCGACCCTTGATAATCTGCGCGACGGCCGATGCAGGATGAAGTTTATGTTTGAAGAAAATGTCATGGTTGTACGTGGGCTGAGATACTGCCAGGGCGCCCGAACCTAGACAGGAGGATGATTAGGGTCCTCATCCAAAGCCTTTGGCTCAAAAGCCTGTCCACAAGGCAACGGGGAGGTGGCAATGATTTACTTTTACAGAAATGGACGCCATCCCATTTCAAACCCCCAACCTGGAGGACTAGGAGACTGCATGCTAATACCTCAAATAAGTATCCTCTCATCCATGTGGCTTTTTGTCCCACATACTTTCTTTCGAGTTAGGGTACGGCGAGTTGTGCGACCAATTGAGACCAGTAATGTAGCTTCTCGACCAAAAACTGATAAACTTGAAGTGCTTGATGTCACAAACAATGAGCCAAAGTTGGCTCATAAGAATATTTGCGTACACGGATGACTTGCTAGCCTAAAAGCAAATAGCTGCGAAAGACAATCAGGCTAGTTTTAGCAGGCACTGTTAGATTTCTTCTCTAAATCAGGCAGGGAAATATCAAAGGCTCATGACAATATTGTGTTGTGATGATCGTTAAATTTGTTCCAAACCGTCTAGCACCTATTTCGTCCTCAGCCCTTTTCACGCACGTACTACTTTTCTATCGCTTACCTACCTCCTTAGAACTATTTTTAGTTGACTTATTTTTTTGCGCATTTATTTTTTATAGCAAGATGGTAAAGAGTCAGAATACCTACCAACAAAAGTTGCACGAGCTGGAATATGTTGACCTACAAAAGTTCGCCGCAGATGTAATTGACAATGATTCCCAGACCCTTTGGGTATTCGCTTACGGATCCCTTTTGTGGTACACAAATTTCGAAACGGATGAGCGTATACTTGGCCATGTGAATAATGTGAAACGAAAGCTGAGTCACGCTAGTTACAGAATAGGTGACGAGAACTGGGTGAATAACCATTTTTCTTCTTGACACAAGTCCTTTGCAGCCTGGACGAGTGGCAACCTTGGTTCATGCTCCGGGCAAGCGTACTTGGGGCGCAGTTTACAAACTGACTAACAGGGCAAGCAAGATTGAAGCGTTTCATAAACTGCACGATCGTGAAATCGCCCAAGGTTACCGACTGGCCATGGTCAATTTTGTTCCAATTAACTCCGCGGAGATAATTCGTGCGGCGGTATATGTCACTGACCCTAGTGCAAACCGCAGTCTGATCGAGGTCACACTGACACGACAGGTAGGTGCTTGTTATGTCACACACTGTTTCCGAATATATACACGCCGCCTTCGATTTTATGACGGTCAGTCGGAAGGGCTTTTGTTGAGTTGTTTTGGTTATATCCTTTCAATAATTCTTCGTCAGGCTTGTACAATTATATGCAAAAAGATAACCAAAATATAGACACAGCACACGGACTGGTAAAGCACGCAGTTCACAGTCAATGGTCACTATCAGTCACTGCCCCCTAGAACACTGTTGTAGCTTGTGCACAATTCCTTGGTATGGACGGAGTAGTTCGTCTGGGCCAAGTCAAGCACAGCGTGTGAGTGAATCTTTTCTGGACGCACAGTTCTGGCTCGTATAGTCTGATCGTTAAACTGTATGCCGATTCAAATAAGCGCATGCGAACGCACTTTGATCGATTTGCAGGTGGTCGATAGAAGACCTTAAATGCCTCGGCTAGATTGGGAGAATGGTCCCGTGTCAGCAAGATGCGTGGCGATGGATGAGTTAGTTAGCTTTCGGCACCCAGTCGCAAGCCAGGCTGGATGGTGTACTCTCACTCTATCAGACAGGCGCCTCGTCGTACGGCCAATATAACCTGAACCACAGGAACAGGTGAATGAGTAAACACACATGGAATTGGCGAGGACAGGCCTTTTGTCTTTTGGGTTATTGTTTTCACCATCGGGCTACTGGTGAAGTGAGTCTGCATTTTGGCTGCTGGAAAGGTGTGCCTTGAGAGCGCGGGAAATACGACGACTTAGAACTTCAGCTACAATTTCCCTTTGTACGGTAATTGTAGAAAAATGGGGTTTCTTTTCGGCTGTGAGGTGTTACAGGAGATTTCCTCCTTGGCTCCATGTTGGCTTTAATGAATCCATCCGGGGTACCCATTTTCCTTAGGGTTAAGCGAGTGCGCTGTAGTTCCTCAGATAATGTGTCATTCGAGCAAATTCTTTCCGCCCGACTCGTTAAA